TCAATTAGATCATGGGTTTAGTCGGGTTTGGGTGCATTCATGGCATGCATTACATTTTATGTTTATTCCGTATAGTTATGTGCATTGGTTATGCTATTTGATTTGTTAGAGCTTGTTAGGTCTAGTCTTTATTAGCTAGAGCTTATTAGGTCTACTCTCGATTAGTAGATGCCCCCTAGGCATGCTCATAAGCCTCCTATGTACTTGGAAGGATTCGCCAAAAAGTGGTGGAATAATGAGAAGGCTTTGGGGAGCAATTTAGTTGGATTACCATTGGAGGCTTTAAGGCGATGATAAGGGCGCACTTTTATCCCCCGCACCTTTAGAGAGCAAAGAAGGATGACTTTAGTGCCCTGGTGCTAGGTGATATGCTGGTGGAGGAGTACTTCACGCATTTTAATGAGCTAGCTGCCTATGCTCCATATTTGGCGGCTAACGATCGATGCAAGTTAACGAGGTTTGTTGGCGGGCTAAACCGAGACCTTCAATGGTTCTTAGCCGGCTTCAGTGTGACGACCCTTCAGGAGGCATACAAAAAGACGGCTAAAATCTATCGGGAAAATCAGATATCGTATGATGAGCGAAGGAATGGAATCCGCAGGGCACATAGAGGAAAAGGGAAGGTGAATGAGGGGTTGAAGAACCGTATGGGAAAGGATCAATAAGAGAGGTTCCCGGGTATGCCTTATGCATCTCGCCCAAAATTCACCCCTGGGAATTCGAGTGTCAGTCATGGCGGTTTGACTGTTTGTAGCCGATGTGGAAAGTCTTATCCGGGAGTTCGTTGTGATGGCCAACCCATCACGTGCTATTACTGCCATGAGCCGGGACATGTCAAGAGGTTTTATCCCAAGTTATGTTGGAGCTCCGAATACGATTGAGAGGGCTACGGTTCCGCAGCAGCAAGGTCGTATGCCATGCGAGAGGAGGAAAGAGTGGCCAGAGAGGTCTTATCAATGTCATGACGAGAGGGCAAGCTGTGGAGAACAAGGGAGACGTCCTGACCGGTACGTTCTTTGATAGTTAGAAATCGCATGCATTTTATGTTCATATCATATGCGATATTTGAGTGATTTTGATTGGATTCTACCTAATTTATATGCGAATTGTTTATCTGCTGAGTGCAGAGAGCAAATATCAAATTTGGCATAATTGGCAGAAAAAGGAAAGAAAATTTCAGATTTGCACCACCTAGTTAGTCATGGCCATGATTAACTACACCCTCATGACATGGGAATTTAATTAAAGGCCCAAAAGCCCAACTACAGAATAATTAGGGTAAAAATTAAATAAATGGGGAGAAAAACACACATTTGAGAAGAGAGAACGGCCAGAGCAGATATGAAGAAGAGCAGAAGACTGACATACTCATAGATCGCACATGAGCAAATCGACAGAGAAGATTTTCCCATCCCACTATGACTTTATCTTTCTCTTTTGTTCTTTGTTATTTGATTATGGAGTAGATATTTTTCTGGTTTGAGGGGTGATAATGTTTTGGTTCTTTTGTTTTGGAGATTCTTAATTTTCTTTATAAAAGTTCTTTTTTATTATCAATATTTGTCTAATTCTGAGAATAACGTATGTGATTGTTAGATTGATTGAATATTTTGGTACCGATATTTGAATTAGTTTGATAATCTAAAGTCAATCAGGTAGGATATCCGTAATTGTATTCGCACTTGAATAGGTGACAACCGGGTTGAATAGTTTCTTTCCGGGGGTTAGACAATCAAATCTAATTGCTCCTCTTAGATAGTAATTATTTTGAATTGGGTTTTTCTAGATTAAAATGCGGTTAGGCAATATTCTTATGGGCGCACCTAGGTTTATTTGCTTAATTAGGGGTAGTTAACGGTGGTACCTTAATTACCTACACTGTAAGAAAAATTTGGTTTTCAGAGCTTGTTGATAACTATAACCAATTTATTGATACTTTAATAAGAATTAACTTTATTGAATTAATGACAAAGCATAAATGCCATAGCTGCATCATCCCTTGAGCCAGGCATCCCCTTGATAGCCAGTTCCCCTTAATTTAGTTGCTTTGTTATGTTATTTTCATTAGATAATAAAAGAAAATTCCCTCTTTATTTACTGCATTAGAACACGAAAGAGTGAATCACACAATCCCTATGGAGACGATCCTTCCCTTGTGTTACATTAAATTGTAATAACGGATTAGGTGAAATATTTGATTGACCGTGCGACATGTCATTCTTAGTGAATTCTTTGGTTGTAGTTAGTCTCTTTGATTCCGGTGCATCCCTTTATTTCATATCGAGTAGATGTACTAAGAACCTAGAATTAGATTCTCGAATAGAGGGTTCGGTAAGGATTAGGCTACCTTCAGGAGAGCTAGTGCCTTGTAATTTTCTTCTTGTAGGAGTGTTTGTCATATGATTGGAGACATAAAATTTCGTACTAATCTTAAAAAGCTTAAATTGGTGAAGTTGTTTAAGAAAGATCCGGGCATGCAGATCGATTTCGATGATGAGATGTCCTAAGGGGAGAATGTAATACCCCGTAAAATAATCGCCGGAAGTTCGTTGGAGCTTCCCGAGGTCTGATGCCGGAGTGGGACAATATTATTTGGGGCTTAAGTTGTTTGGGCTTTTGATGTGAGAAATATTATAATTTGATTAAAATGACAGGTGTTAGGGTGTTTGGGCCAAAGTTGAGCCCAAAAGGAATAAAAAAAAAATAGTTAGGTAAAGACCCAAGTCTATTATGTTTAATAAGAAAAAAGAGAAAAAAAAATTGGAATAGAGAAACAGCCAGCCAGCCGCTGCCCAGCACCTTCCTCTTCTTCCTTGAGGATTTCTTATCTAGAACTCTTTCTTTTGGGCTCTTCTTGTAAGGTAAGTGAGATTAATCTTAGGTAAATTATATGTTCTAATCACTAGGCCCCTTTTGTTGATATTTTTCAAAATTATTTTCAAATGGGTTTGCCCTAAAATTGTTAGGTTTTGTTAATTTCTTATAGAAAGTTGATTATAATGTTCTGTATTATTATAGTATTTTAAGTTGAAAATCATTGAATTTGTGGAATGGGTTTGAAACCCTAGTTTGCACTAACCTAGTTATGATTTTTTTATTTTTTTTTGGAAAATATTTATGATATGTTTAAATGTTATGATTTTTAGAGTTAGATTATACCTATTGGGATGGACATATTAATCAAATGTTTATTTGACGAAATAAAGTGAGATTATAACGAACTTGTTGGGTTTTAATATCCTACTTTTTGCTTGGTTAGATGTTGGCAATTTGAATGGTTGAGTTTAAAGCTCTCTTTAAAATTTGTCTAATAGCATGTTAAGTATTGGGTCAAATTGGTAATTGAAACTACCCGTCTAGTCCGATCAACTCGTCTATTGTTTGGATGATAAGGCATAACCTTCCACCTCTGTGAATTGCAAACACATGAGAGTATACCGGTATTTTAGGATAACTAGCTAACCTCGAGCTAGAACCCGAATGGATTAGATCAAGGGATCGAGATGGCGGGTTCCCTTTTTGGGTGATTCCGAGGTGCCTGTCATTCACGATGATGGAGGGATCCATTCCCTTTTGGCATCCCTCGCAAACTAATAAATAAATTGACTTACGTGTACTTTGGGCTTCGAACCTTATGTACATATTATAGAGCTTTTTCTTGAGGGTTGTGACCCTATGTTTGCTATAAGAAATTATGTGACGTGTCACACGAAGTAATAAGGTTAGAAAACTGGGTCGAGCCAGCCCTAATTAAGGCCTAGTAGAGTTTTCTTCATGATGTGTTCATCACCATTATTTGATATTAAAAATGAGATACAAGGGAGGTGCTAAAAGACTTGTGTGTGTGAGTTATCTTTATGTGATATGTGACATTTTAATTCAAATTATCTTCTTTACATGATTTTGTGGCATTTACACGTGAATCATGATTAATACCGTATTAATTTATCTTTGATTAATTGCCCTATGAATGTAATTATTCATGATCAGGTCAGCACATCCATGGAGGTCTATATCGACAATATGGTCATCAACTCTCAGAGCTTCAAAGATCATTTACAGCGCATCTGAAAGTCCTCCATTTGTATGAGGCAACATGACCTCAACATCCGAGCTAGAAAATTCATTGGTTACCTTGCCCATTATTGCAGGAATGAAGTTGATGCAAATAAGGCAAAAGCAATCTAGCAGCTTGCACTACAAAAAAAATAGTTTTTTGCTACGGTCGGAAATTCGTAACAAAAAGCCAATTTTTGTGTAATTTGCGTATTTGCTACGCCTTAGTGACGACTTTTGTCCGTAATGTGTACTCACGTAAAAAATGTTCTTTTCCACGCCCATTTTCATAACTACTACTCTCGGTCAATGTTCCTTATGGCAAGGTTTTTGTTACGATATTTGTTACGAATATTCTCTCGTAATAAAAAGTCGAGCTTCCCACGCGTGTGCCAGGACTTTTTGTCACGATATTTGTTACAAAAGTTCCTCGCGTTACCAAAAAATTTACTATGACCGCTTGTCAGAGTACGCTTTTTGTTACAATTTTTTGTTACGTCATTGAAGCCGTAATAAACAATATATTTTTTCTTATGGTCACGAAACCTGCCGTAACAAAATTATCCCTTTATATTTGTTACGTCCAAAAAACACTTTTTGTTACGTCATTTCATTTTTTATTATATCATTGAATCCTTAACAAAACTATCCATTCTTATGGTCACAGAACCGGCGTAACAACAAACATCCAAAACAACATTTTCTTACGTCATTTTTTCCTTTTGTTACGAGAAAATAGCGTCTCATAAAAAAGAGTAGTTGTGGTATAGTTGAAATTGTGCATAACAAATTAACCTGTTGTGATCTTTCTTACACCAAAGGAAATTTTTTATACAACCATGATATAAATATTACGATTGCCCATAATTGCAAACAATATGCACTATAAGAGAATTCCAACATAGGATATTAACATAACAATATTTACTAGATGATGTCCACAACCAAAAAACAAAATAAAGTAACCCATCAAACAAGCCTAGCAACATCTTCACTTTGACATTATGTTCCGCAAAATGCAAGCATTTTAAACATCCAACCTAGTAATAAGCAACTGGGGAAATCCATCAATCCATAGCAACAATTCTCACCACAAAAAAGATAACTCCAAATTTCTATGCATCTATTCCATAGGTATTTCACATAGCCGTAACAACCTACCATCCAAACACATCTACGACATCCAATCCATAAGGCAAACGGGGGCAAAACATTAAGGAATCGGTTGATATGTTTTAGGGGTGGCGCATGAGCTGCAATTACCAACAGAAGGAGGTTTAGTTTAAGTAATATTTCTTTTAAGTTTTAGAATTCAATAAATGAAAGGTATGAAAGTATATCCGAACATCCTTGTAGTTCCACTTAATAGGATCTTCACCGACAAAGTCGCGAATGGTAGTCGCCCCAGCAGTTGTCGGAACAATAAGTGGTGTGTCCGGGACTGAGGCGCATGTAACGAAGACCTTGAAAAGGAAAAATGTGTCACCTATAACATTCACAAGTACAATTATTGAGTATGTAGTTCAGCGTATATATCAACACACAATCAAACTGTATATATAACATGCCATAACACATTTGAAGTGTAAACTTCCCAACTCGTAGAGAATGAGTATGTACATTCAGACATGTACTACAATACATGGTATTCGACCCATGAATTAGGCACCAAAAAACACTACTTTCTAATTTCCTATGTGATTGCAACTCGAACTGTAAACAACTCATCCACCAATAAAACCTAACTAAAGCAGCAGATCATGTACAACATTAAAATAATAATTTCGATAAGCAATAAATCCATATGGTTACCCCCAAATGGGACTACTCCATGTATGTGTCGTATTATCATGAGATTAATTACCATTTATGCATTAAATATGAGCACACACCCGCTGATGAGTTCAAGTTTAGAGTACCGACGACTAATAAATCAAATTATATGTTAGTGATCCTCATCACAAAAGTAGCTATTGTAGGCAGCTCGGAACTACAAGATACTCAATAATAAGGCCAACATTTATCAGTTTTGGCACTACAATGTGCATCTAAATAGTGTAATAGGAGCACAGCCATAAACAATGTCATGTGAGCGATAAAAAATATAAGATCAGCACATAATTGGCATAATACCAACATAGCCACTGTCTCTACATTAACAGCCTATGTATACATAAACTGAATATGCGCAGACTCAATAAAACAATGATCATCTGCACTATGAGACCTGAATGGTCACAACATCGACGATGCGGTATGAATATCATATTGAATGATTGGAAAGAAAAAACTGAAGGCACAATGCCACGAACCAGGCACAAGGGGCAAAGCAGAAGTCCCTTAGCAAAATATTTCTTTTATCTGGTACAAGATAATATAAGCACACGGGTTCCGACCTACAAAAGACATTACAAATGAGTTAGAAACATAGTTGGCCAAGAGAATTGGCCTAAAGTTGACACTGCACTGATTACTAGTTAACTTCAGGTTTTGAAGACATCAATGAATCACCCCAAGTTTTAGGCATTTTCTAGAAAAGAAATTTACAACCACACTATAAGACGAGAATATTGACGTGCCTAGTTGATAAATTTTGGCACACTGTTGCACCACACAAACACCCAAATTATGAAATTCTCTTGAAATTGCACCTTGGGGATCAGCCATGACTTCTGGTATTGCACTATCACCAGAAGCTGAAAAAAGGGAAAAAAGTTGTTTTACATTTGGTTAACGTATAAAATTTTCTTGTCTTGGCTGTCATCAATCATCTTTTGTTATTTTATTTCTGTTTGTCCTTATCAATTGTTATTCTTGTTCTTAAATCACATCTATTGTAATACACCATCAAAATTTTGATCACATGAAAATTGATAGTTGAAAAAAACTCAAACAGCGTAAGGGTTTCACATAGCTAGCTTGAAGACAAGGAAGAACTTTAGACATAACTCACCTAATAAAAAAATACGGACCTATCCTCATAGCCATTGATTAAAGACCTGTAGAAACAAGTAAAATCAGACCCAATAGATGATGATGAGCAGAGACAAAGTCCAAATGTGTAAAAGTGAAATCCATCAGATTTTTCATTCTTCACGTGCTATGGCTTTGGCAGTAAATAAATTTTAATTGCAAATGGAACAGTACATCAATAGCATGAAGAACATGCATAAATTTGACATTGGACTTAAAACTGTGCAGAAAATCTGGATGTTGATAAGTTTTATTGTTTATCACTAACATACGATCTAGAAGGAAAGCATAACAAATCATGTTGACCTCTCTTCACAGGGGAGAAACTGTGAACTTCAAATTAAAGTAAAAACACAAAAAAAAAAGGGATGTAACATGAAAAATTTAAAACGGAATGCTGCAAAAAACAACTTAGAGTATAACAGTACCAGAAAAATAAGGAATTGGCGCGGAATGAACTGCGCCAAAACTGCAACTTTTATGCTCAAATGGCGTAGCATGTGTCACGGTTTTACTCCGGTACATAATTACGATTCCAATTTCCTTTGCGCCGGATATCCGGACCAAAAATAGAACTCTTGGTGCCATTATAGGAACCATAAATAAGAAAAAAAAAAGCATCAAAGGTGGTGCCACAACTAAGTACAAAAAAATTTATTGATGCTAAAAGTGATACCAAAATAAAATAAAATATATGTTGGCGACACCTTTAGCACCACACCATATACATATATATTTTTTTATTTTCTAGCGTCAACTTCCGCCGAAAACATCATAATAATATTTTATATTTTTGCAATATTTTGGTCAAATAATAATAACAATATAGTGATTAATTAATACAAAAAAATTCATTCAATTTGTTTCATTAGTCACAAAATGTCATAATCTATAACAAGCAAAACACATTTTGATATTTTCCAAATTAATCCTTCAAACTGACTGAGACTAAAAAGACTCAAACAAGTGTAGGAGCCTAAGAGCAGATGGTCAGTTACTTAAAAGATATAATTGGGGATATATTTTCACCTAATTGTGCAAACTAATTTAACAATCATTACCTTATTTCATCTATGCTCTACAAACTAATTTAACAATCATTACCTTATTTCATCTATGCTCTACAAACTAATTTAACAATCATTACCTTATTTCATCTATGTTCTACAAACTAATTTAACAATCATTACCTTATTTCATCTATGCTCTACAAACTAATTTAACAATCATTACCTTATCAGCCACCAGATCCAAAAATGCACCAAACTGACTAAGCAACTTCATCTGCAAAAGGAAGTTTATAATGCAACATTGACATTATGTTAACAGTAATTTTTATTTTTTTAAAAAATTAGACAAGAAAAAAGAAAAATGAATATACTTAAAAGCTCCCGAGAGTAAGTTATTCATCAAGCCAATTTTTTGCAGCAGCAGATCTCCACCAGCTCTCAAGATAAAAAGCTGGTCACAATATATTAACGTCAATTTCATCATTCTAAAGTCTCCAATCTTAGAAACGTCCGATAGAATATACAGGTTAAGTTTGATGAAAGCATTGAAAGAAATAGAAGGATCTCAAACACTAACAAGTTTCTTTTAAGAAAGCATTGGAGAAAAAGGGAGACATTGGAGCTCCAACGATGAAGACCACCCAGATATTGCATAAATAAATAAATAAATAATCTCATCTCAACCTCAATCTCAACCTCTATTTTTTAATATATCCACGGACGATTAATTATAACTCTTTCTCATCATCTAATTAATATTTATACACATATATATACACATTCAAACTCATCAACATCCATCCATCTATCACCAACCTCATCGAATATAACCTACAAATTATTTCACTGATCTCCAATACTTTAAATAATTGAAATTTTGTGATGTTTGTCTCCTTAATTGGATACCTGGCACTCTTCTCTTTTTTTTGCCATCTTTAATTTAAGCTACAACACCCAAAATGTGATATCTATATTAATTACAACAACACTATAAACATGCACTAAGTCACAATATGCATTCTCTCTTTTGGGATTGAATTAGAACCAACCTTCTGTGACCGTATAAAAAGGCAATCACACCATAACTTAACCTATTGAAAACATACTAGCAACTCTCATCCCGATTTTAAAATATATTGTGGTAACCACAACAAAACAATTTCAAATCTAAATCACTTAATTCCCATGTCGGTATGGGAATAAGCCTAAGACATCAGCCTCCATGTATATCCCAAATTCATTTTAATGAAAAGGTATTTTGAAAATGCACTAGATAAAAATGTTTGACGCAACCTTGATTTCGCCATAAGTTTGGATATCACTGATTTACAATTTTTTTGTCTATTTTCTCGCAACAAGTATACCACCTAAAATGAGGACAAAAACTAGAAGCAACAAACACCCACTCCTATTCACTACCATACCAGTAAAACATTGATATTTATATAAATATATAAAAATATTTATTGAGCTGGGTTTAGCAAATCCTTAATTCTCCTCATCTACTGCAACTTAAACAACTAACAACATGATCGATTAAGAAGAAATTGAAAAACTATAAACCCACTTACATAATAGCCTTTACAATCACATAAATGAACCCGTAAGCCAATCTTCTTTCAAACCGGATTTCCTAGCAATAAACGAGTAAGGAATTATTTTTGTTTGACCTAAAAACTACTAATCACCAAAGCCCTAGTGGCTCGATAGAAGAATCATTTTCTTACACAAACCCGAAGATCGAATGGGGCTTTGAGAACCAGAACATATGCACGGATTCAGATAGGGGAAATCATCAAAATTCTTACCTAAAGGCCGACACTGGAGTAGCTTGTCGCCGATAGAAGGATGAGGCGATGTTGGCCCTCTCGCACGGCGGAAGAAGGGAACGAGACGAAAAAAGGAGAAAATCTATTTGCCCTAACGTTTTGTAGTGTTGAAAGTGATCCATCGCAATGGTGTCTAAGGATATAAAATACGCTCCCAACCCATTATGTTGAAAGCGTAAAAATGTTTTTTTTTTTATTTAAGAGGAAAAAATATATTTAATTGATAAATATTACGAAAATTAATTGTAACTAATGTTATTTTTATGAAATATTACCATATTTGTAATTATTACGGAAAATTTTGCGTAACAATTGAAACTCAGGCGTTGACCAGAAAAAATCTTTTTGTCGCGGATAAGATCGTAACAAAAATAGTCATTTGTATCGATGTTATTGTTACGCCCACTCGTACCATAATGATAGCGTATTTTTTTTGGTAGTGTTGGCACCACTCGCAACATCAAGGAGTTTCAAAGCCTATTGGGAAAAAATACTTTTTACGTCGCTTCATCGAAAATCTTGGTGGGAGATGAAAGATTTTTTGGTATTTTTGTGTGGGAATAAATAGTCTTTCAAATGGAGGCAGAACAAATAGAAGGATTTCAATAGAATAAACGTGTTTTGGCCTCACCGCTAGTCTTGATACCGCCTGTTCACGGGAGGTCACTGAAATTATATATTGCAGAAAACAAGGATACCACGGGATGTCTATTGGCATGGGATGATGTCAGGGGGCAGAAGCGAGCCATTTACTACCATAGCAAGACCTTGATCGAAGTCGAAGTGAGGTATCCCTCGTTCGAAGCATTGTGTTTTTCCTTGTTTTATGCTTGCACAAAGTTTGAATTTTATATTGTACCATTCGAGACAAAAGTTGAATGCAAATTAGATTTCTTGCTCTCCCTCTCGAATTGTCCAGGGTTAAGTGGTCACCTAGTAAAATAGGCTATTGATAACCAAAATTTGTATGTTGAAATTTTTTCCTCTTCATTTTCCTCTTCTTCTGTCGCTCGAGCTGCCGCAGTCGTTCAAGGCATTGTATCTCGGTGAACAGCTGAACTTATTTTTCTTGAAAGTTTCTATCCTCTTTATCCTCCTCCTCATCGATGATTTTTTTGTCTGATTTGGTTGAGACAGGAGTCAGAGTCTCTGCAGGTGTCCCAGTCGTGGTAGGTGTTCTTGGGCTGCGCGGGGACACTTGCAGGATTGGAAGGTTTGAGATTACTGCCTCTACCTCCTCGGCTTCATTGGCAGCTTCAGCGGTTGTGGCAGCGGGGACCTCGGCGGGATATTCCTTGTATGATTCCACTGTGACATCAATCCCTCCGATGGTTTCTTCGGTAAGCACGGTCTCCTGCTCCTCCTCTGTTCCAGCAGCAGTAGGCTCTACTGCTCCCGGCTGGTTAACGGGTGTGGCTTCCTCGCCTGTTCCAGCAGCAGTTGGCTCACCTGCCCCCTGCTGGTCGAAAGGAATAGGTTCATCACCAAGCGGACTTAGTATTCTGGGTGACACCTCCACTATCGCTGGCCTCACTGGCGAAGGTCTCTCGGGTTGAGCGGTGGGTTCTCTGATAATGATCCCCTTCCGTAGTCTGGAAAGGGGGATCGCGTCTTCGCTTGCCTCAACATCGACCACTTTCCCCCTCCCTTTTTCCTGCCTTGTCGCTCGTCGAGGGGGTGTTGGATTTTTTTGAAGTGCTTCCTTGACCCTCGGTTTCTTGACAGGCGCCGGAGAAGGGTCTTCCTTTTTCTTCGACCTTTTCTCGCCAGCGGCCGCTTCGCTGTTTTTCCTTTCTTATCACTCATAGCCGCTTCTGCCCCCAAAAGATCCTCCTTTATCTCCCAAGAGAAGCGGAGGGCTTCCTCTTCCACATCGACGGGAATTTCATTGGAGATCGTCCTCTCATAATCGGGCTCAGTTTGAGGTGTCACCTCCTCTCCGATTATTTCCCCCCTACAACCTTCATCTTTTTTTTTGGTGGATGGGGCGCTGCCGCTTGCGCTTTCCTCTTTTTCTGCTTGGGGATGAGAGTAAACCCCTTGGACCCCAACCAGTTTTTGTGGAAGGCCACCGGAAGCAATGGCTTCATTTGAAGTTTTGGGGTTGGAGTGGGCAGGTCGACACCCGCGCGTCGACATAGCTCTGTGATCAAGGTCCTGTGACCAAGTGTTCTGTCTCCGTTTCTTCTATCCCAGATGTCTATGCCGATGATCGCGCCGAAATCCACATCAGCAGTCTCCTCCAGAATCGAGCGAAGGGCAAGGAGGAAGTCAGGACGGATGTCAGTTGTGTGTGTGGTAATCATCACTATGCTCAGTGACCACTTCACCCATTCCTTTTTCTCTTCGTCCACTGACCCGAAGTTCAAGTTCCTTTTTTCGTAGGCAGGGGTGGTGGCAAAGGTCCTGTAAAGTGTCTGCAGCTCAAGCGAGCTGCAGATCTCCGTTGCCCTTAACTTGTCCCTCATCTCCTGGGTGGGGTAGTGGTGTTCCCATCCCAGGAGTCGGTTGATCTTCCTGGCTGAGCAGTCTACCCATCTCCCTCAAATGTAAAAATTCTTTAGACTCTTAGCCTGGTTCAGATTAGCATAAAACTCCCTCACCAGCGATACATCCACTGGATCACTGGGGTTTCTGATCAACCATGACAGGCCCCGCTCATCCAGCCAGTGAGAGAGCGGGCCTGTGATCTTCTCGGGATAGAATCCTATCTCGTAGAGGATCCCCATTGTCTTCATCCTTTCATAGGCCGCGTTCTTCATTGAGTTATCGCCTCTGAATGCCTTGATTCTCCTTGGCGGTGCCTCTTGGCATGCAAGTTTGTCCTTGAGCTCCTTCAACTGGTACTCCTTCAGCTCTTCGTAGTCCAACCACCAGTCGCTCACCAGATACCTCTGCTCTGTTTCCTCAGTGTATTCAAATCTGAGGTAGTCTTCCGGGAACTCTGGAATGAATTTTCTGAAAGGCAGTGACTTCAGCTGTCTGAGCTTCCCCCAGTCCTCTGTTAGCTCTAACACCCTTCTCCTCCGATAATATGCCTTAGGCGGTGCTGGCTCCACGAATTCAGCCCCTGAGGTTGTTTTTACAACCTTTTGTCCGTCCGTGGATTTGATCCTTTGGACTCTTTTCTCAACCTTCTTCTCAAGCTTCTCAAATTCCTTCCTTAACGCTTCTCGCTTTGCTGGATCTATTTTGTCAAGTCGGTCCTGAACCTAGGGTTTCCAGAATTATTGTTTAACATAAGAAATTTATGAACCCTACCTTACTAGTTTAAAATGTTAACAACATTCATGTACAGACAATCATTTTCATAATTTCAGTGATTTTAACCCTAGATCCTCCCCCTCACAACGAAACAGAACACTACTGTGAGTGTTATATTGTGAAAAAGGGGGAAAAATCAAAAAACAGTACAGAACATTCAGATTATTGTAAAATTGATCCATAGAAAGCCAGTATATCAGTTATTATATCTAAATCTAGCAGATGATAGACCTAGATTCACATAAATCAAACATATAAACCATTTCACAAAAATGAAGAACAGACAGTTATGGCGAAAATAATTTGTGATTCTGTGTTTTTGAATGTTAAATCAGAGAAAATCAACCATAAAATCGAGTTTATGTACTAAGGTTAACCTAGATCTTACCTTAGATGAAGCTATTACTTGTTGAAAATGTCAAGATTTTGAAAAAATTTTGGTTTGGAGAGTGGCGGTTACTAAAGCTTCTGGAGGAAGTTACTGTATGGCAAAAGTGGAAAATGATTGTTGACTGGGGTATTTATAGAATTTTTATCGCTCGTCTAGAGGGCAAGAGAAGCGCGGCCAAGTCCAATGTAATTAATTATAAAGGTATAAGGGTGGGTTTTCAGGGCGGGTGAGCGGGTAAAGCAACACTTCTATTTACCTAAGAGTGACACACAAGCGGTGATGGAAGCGGTACTGGGTGAGCGATACTACTCCCCCAATGAGTATCAAGGTGAAACAAGCGAAGCGATAGGTGGCTTGGGTCAGGCTCAGGTTAGAAGTTAGGATTCTAACATTAAACTACTCCTAAAAAGCGATAATCCTAACTATTTAAAGCGATAATACTATCCTAATGAAAGCGATAAAAGAAACTGTAAACTTAAACTACGAAAAAAGCAGTAAGAATTATAAAATTTATCTATGAAAGCGATAAAAGAAAGCGGTAAATTATAACTATGAAAGCCGTAAATTCTAATTAGGAAAGCGATAAAAGAAAGCTGTAAAGTTGGCGGATATAAGATTAGGCTTCTGGATTATCTTCTTGAAATTCTATCATCGAACGAGATTTTGAACCTCCACCAGATTATTACATGCACTAGCCTGCTGCAATATAGGCCTTTCGATATAGGGTTTTAGCTTCGCTCTATTGACCACGAAGGAGTCTCTTTCTCCAGGGTTATCCATGTTATTGATCCTTATGGCTCCCCTTGGCAGCACTTGTCTGACAATATAAGGCCCAGTCCACCGTGACTTCAATTTCCCTAGGAATAAGTGGAGCCTAGTGTCGTATAAAAGAACCTTGCATCCCACAGTGAATTCTTTCTTCTTTAACTTCCTTTCATAATAGAATTTCATCATTTCCTTGTAGAGTTTTGTGCTCTCATATGCGAGATATCGGAACTCAGTTAGATCGAGAAATCTTTTAGCGCGCTTCTCCTGTACTGGGAGAAGATCAAAGTTGAAATATTTGATGGTCCAATACGCGCGATGCTCCAGTTCCAAGGGTAGGTGGCAGGTTTTTCCATAAACAAGCCAATACGCGGATATTCCAATTGGAGTCTTGAAGGTTGTTGTATATGCCCACAGCGCATCATCCAATTTCTCTGCCCAATTCTTGCGACTCTCATTTACTGGGGTCTGGAGGATGTGCTTGATTTCTCTATTCGAAACTTCCACATGACCGCTCGATTGTGGATGATAGGGGGTAGTCAGATGCTGATGAACATCATATTGTTGAAGGCAAGATTGCAGCGCCTTGTTCACAAAATGGGTGCCTTCATCGCTTATTATCGTTCTGGGGACCCCAAACCTTGGGAATATGGTATATTTCAGGAAGCAAATTACAGATCAAG